TGTCGTAACTGTATAACTGTAAAACTGTAACTGTCATAACTGTAACTGTCATAACTGTAACTGTCAAAACTGTAACTGCTCATAACTGTAGACAAATATTCTATAGTGAATTAGTCTTCTACGATTTGGAGACATTTTAAGAACAGCGACATCCTTAAAATGTGTGCAAATCGTAGAAGACTAATTCACTCTAGAATATTTTTCTACAGTTATGAGCAGTTACAGTTTTGACAGTTACAGTTTTACAGTTATACAGTTACGACAGTCACTGGTATAGGTAGAATTTTATAAAATTTTGGATCTATATTACGTCGAGCAGACATTTTAAAAAGCATCAACGTTCTTTTCAAGTTCCAGCAAATTCAATTTAATATATATATCTGGTGGATCTCAATTCATTATAAGCTTAGAAATAATTTACGTAAATTTAAACATTATATAATGATACTCTACAAAGGGAATAGTTTTTGTAGAAAGAAAAAAACAAGCTTTTGTCTGAAAATGAATCATGTCCATGTGCTCTATAGAAAGTCTTCTGTACGTTATAAAAAATGTTCAAACGATGTTCTACATCGAAATTTTTTCATTCAATGACAACAAAAGTACCAAAATACACCGGTGATAAATAAAACAAATGTAAGGAATATGCTCAAGTTTTCATGTCAATAATTGTACCTTGTTGGTGTTTTATCCTAAAGTAAATATTTCGATTTCTGATGGCGTAAAGTTTCTATTTCCTGTAAATGTTTTATTTTTAAATCCCGTTGTGTCTATGTAGGATCGAGGAAAATTAATCAAATTGGCATGATTATCGCTACAGAAAAAATCGGACCATTTGTCCTGTAAACCGCATGATGGACCAAAATCATATGAATGAAAAACAGCAGGTGCTCTACTATTACGAATCGAATATTTTGTAGGCGGTAGTGAATGTGGATTTTTCAACGTAAATATAAAAGCTGTACCGTCATTATGCGTTTCAACAGTTGCTGGAGCTGTCCAAGATACATTAGTAAAACCACCGAATAAATATCCACCATCTTTTTCTTGTATGATAGTCATCGTTGGTTGTTTACCGTCACAAACAGAGTGAAAATCTTTTGCAAGAAAACCATCTCTTGCTGCTTTATATAATAATTTCCATTGTTGATTTTGTTTACCATAAAATTCGTTTAAATGTTGTTGCTGTTCATTCGATAAAAGTGTAGTGCCATTAAAATAATTGTTTATTCGTATACTATGAGATAAACCAACTGTCTGTTCATTATTGTTTGTGATATATACAGAAATTATTTTATCATCCCAATTAATTTTTTGATATTCAACTTGAATACCAGTTTCCTTCGATGATTTCTGTATCTGTTTCTTCAATGCATCAAGTTTTTTCTTCCATTCATCAATATCTATTTCATCATATTCACTTGTCGACTGTTTCAATTTTAGTTCAGCAGTAAATGTTTCAAACTCATTTTTCAACATATCTTTATCATTATTCAAGAATTTTTCGATCTTATCTTTGGCATTTTTCGCTGTTTCTCGTACTTTATCTATCGTTTCATTTTCCCATTCAAGAATTTTTTGAATTAAAGACGATGCGGAACTTTTCGCAGACAATCGAGTATTTAAATTTTCTAATAACGAGCCATGTTCTACACATACGTCATCAAATTGCCTATCGATTTCTTCACGATGTACTTTATAATGTTTATTACAGAAACGTTTTTCACATCCACCACATATATTAACACCAGTTGTATCCTTTGTTTCACTAGCACCATTTGTTTTACTTACACAAATGCAACATAAACGTGTTTTAACAGTATTTGTTGTCATTATATTTTAGAAAAACAAAGACGTAAACGAAATTATTACCTAATTATAAATGTGTCACAAGAATGAATTTCAGTTTCAACAAGTGAGCACGGGATCTTAGACATTCCTGTTTTGAAGATAAATTCGGTGACGGCACGATCCATAAAGTGATGACTATAGTTAATGAAACAATCAATATCGTTCGAAACTGATGTACTTCCACGGTGGCAACCTTTCTATCAGCTTCATGACGATCTATTGCTCATATTATATTTTTGTTGCGAACTAAAAAGCCTATCAATATCGGAAAATTTATCGTCAAAAAACAAGATTTTCGTGTTTGTTATCCACCAAAGCCGTGCGGTATCCATTTGGCAAGGTTCTTCCCGTTGACTCTCTCTTAGACTGCAGGGACCGAATTAGCTTATCATTCACACCCAACATCTGCTTGTAACCAAACTACTTTTAATTTTCATTATCTAAACTGTTTTAAAATACATACCATAGTATCCCAAATACCCGGTCTTGTAGCGAATTGTACGACGCATCTTTTGAAAAAACAATGAAGACTAAAGATTGAAAAGGAGAAAGATATATAGTCCAAATACTGAGAAGCTCGCGGAAATGTCAGTGTATCGTTTTTTTACCAATCTAATGGGTGCGACAGCATAAATGAACTTCAACAATATCATACGGAGCGAGAAATTCACCCAATTTTCTGTTAGAGAATCGTCCTCCAAAACGTATAGGTCGATGATTTGGGCTCTCACAGCGTTATCTACTGCAAAAGAACGAAAACCTGTTCGAAGCTCGTGATTGTGTGAATTTGTAGTAGACACTATCTAGTACTTATGATAAAGTTGATTAGTCTAAGTCACATGCCGTTACGACGTTACACATAGTTTAAGTTGACAATTTTTCAAGAAGAAGAAGATTTAATATTGGAATACTGGCTTTCGTAAAAATTGAATATCTCTGCAACGCAACAACCTTCATTCATGAAAATGTTTGCTCTGAATAAGCCTTGTACTTTAGAAGAAATCTGAGATGATCGATTGAGCATATTGGAGACGCACAAGATCATCAAAGAGATGATATAGTTCCTTTTAATGGCTTATCCATAACCGATTGTAATAATTATATCAAACGTCGATTATCTTGTCGCTATCCGCACATTTATTAATTATCTAATTCAACCATACATCGTCTATTCATGCCACCAAGAAAAATGTAAGAAGTCAAAAGTTTTATAATTATTCTAGCGAACATAATTATTTTCTCAAAAACAGAATTCTAAATGTCAACATCATCCAGATTTTCATGCTACATCTGATCAAGTTAATTACGTACAAGAATTAAGCGAGTTATATGACGATTATCTTCGTACCAATACGATAGTAACAAGATTGAAATAGAATTAGAGATATTGGAATCTTGTTACCGTTTTTATACTGTAATAAAAGTGTTACTGTCGGAAGAAGTACCCCTGTTACCCAAGCAAAAACGACCCAATTTTTTGGGTTATTTATCTAGATTCAGCTCCACGTACATCTAGATGCACGTGGACCTGAATCTAGATAAATAACCCAAAAAATTGGGTCGTTTTTGCTTGGGTAATGACTTCAGAATCACTGGTTTAGAAATATTCTAAGTTTAGTTAGATAAAGAGTTGGATGTATGAAACTCGGCGATAGGTGATTATTTTCATATTGTATTTGCTTTCGTGCAACATTCGAACGTGGCGAGTACATTACGAGCAGAGTAGAGAAGATAAACAACAAACGTATGTCAAAATAAGTACATTTTTTTAAGCTAATTTATGTCAGGACAAACGTCGGATTATTGTAAAGTACAACTAAAGCTACTTCACGTGAAATACATTTCATGTAAAATTAAACGCTTTTAAAACGATTAAAATAGCCATCGCCTACTGTAAGCATATAATACAATGTAAATATTTAGTTTGTAATGTTCTTGAATGTGCAAAAATAAACGTTACTTAGACAAAAATGACAAAAGAAATCATTTCCTCGAGGAACCTTTTAGAGATAGTTTTCTTCTATAGACTAACTATATATAATCAAATCAGCACAAGCATGTGCAGTTGAAGCGATAAATGAGGGCATTAATGCGAAAAAATGCAGTTCCATACGAAGTTGAACATTGGATGACGAAGGATGTTACTCTGGCTGAAGTTCCGCGAACTGGACGTATTAGATCTAAGAGAACGCGAGAAAATATGCTCTTGAATCAACAATTGTTCGCCGATACACTTCAAATATCATACGATAGGTATCGTTACCTTATGAAAAATACTTATGATAAGCAAGTGTTTCTCAAAAAACGGAGAATAGAAGGAGACAAATTAATGGCGGTTTCCAAATCGTAAGTGATCGTAAAAAAGTCTCATCATAAGCATATATTTAAATTTTTTTCAGATATTCTGGAAACTTAACGGACAACCTCAAAGGAAGCATTGCACCATCTCTAGATCCCTTTAAACAATGTGAAACATTGGCATCAAATTCTTCGTTTCCTAGTGGACAGTATAAATTGAGCATGTTTGCTTTCGATAAGCTTTCGGAAACCACCAAAGCGAAGGTACAATTGTCATATCCAGCAGTGGTCACAAAAACGGTACGTGGTGCAAGTTTAAAATACGACAGTGCTTTGAGACAACTCGAAGCATCGAGTTTTGAAATACCAAATGCACAAAGTACAATCTTTTCTAATAATAACGGTTTCCGTCAACAGCAGGACATGCGAAAAGTACGGGCTACATTTCCAGATATAACAGTGTCACGATCGATTTGTACTAGCATAGATGGGCCACGCCGTCTGTCATCCGTAGATGACAGACGGTTTTGTCAATTAGTGTCCACGCTGACCGATTCACACAATTCACTCAAATCTAATAGCAGTGTAAATAGTATTATTATCGACAATTCATCGCTTCAAAAATATCCTTGTAAAATCCGTGAATATACGCCATTGTCACCTAAAGGATGCCAAGAAATTCGAAGAAAACATGTGGGAGAAGATCTATTCTGGATTAATGTGACATCTTGATGGCGATATGTGAACAATATTAGACATTAAGTAGTTTGGCAGATGGCTTATCTTGTTTACTGACGAAGTCGAAAAATGATTGGCTTCTTCGATATTCTGAACGCCGCATGTTTCATGGAATATTTAAAAAAAAAATGTTGTTCTCTTTGTTAACGCTCTATCACAGTGTTTTTTTATGACAATTAAAATAAGTAGTAAAAATAATATAGGGGGGTTGGGGGCACTTATTAATGGTATATTATGTACGGTGAGTATTTTGAAGACGAAAAAACGTCTTCTGCCTAGTAGAGGTCTATGACTACTGCATGTTAAAAGGTCTCATTAGCGGCTTTCACTTATCGACGGCAAGTTCTCTTTGATTAGGCTAAATAGTATCTATAAAATTCATAATGTTTTACCAAAAGTATGTTATAAAGTATCGATGCATAAGCAAATAGTATAAGTAAGAAAAATAAAATGATGATGAAATATATATTTGCATTTACATACAATACAAATGGCATTTTTCTGCCGTCTGAGCCCGTTTATTCTATATATTAATTATTAAAACACTGTTTACGATTGTTCCGTAAATTGATGGCACAAAAGGTCTTTAAATAGAAAAGGAAAATAAAGAAAAGCAGAAAGAACGCCAAAACAAAACAAAGCGACTGTTCGTGACTTTTAACAATTACGAACAACAAAATGACACTTTTTCATTTGTCCCCGCGCATGTGCAATACGTTTCAAATTGACTTTATCGAGTATATCGTTTTTCATTGAACATATCATTAAACTAGAAAATTTTTCATTGCTCAGTGTTGTATGTAAATAGTTTTTGATTAAATTCCTCTTGCTGGAACTTCCGACTCGGACTCGGTACTCCTCGGACAGGCCCATGCCAGTTTGGAAGACACTCATTTGTTGCAATCGTTATTGGTAATGATAATAAAAATTATAAACAGTAGCAGCAAGGCGTGGGTAAACAGTCTCTCGACTTTTTAACACATCTATAATTGTATTCGGCTAAAACGTTTAACTGTCACTCTCAGCTGCGGTGGGTTGATATTTTTTCGCTCAAACCAGCCTTAAAAGCACATCACTAGATGCAGCCTTTTTCGCTGATTACGAATATCAACTTTAAAGGAACAAAACCCAAATTTTTAAATCGAAAATTCAAATTTAAAACTCAGAAGTTTTTTATTTCAATTTTCTCACCTATTTAGCTTTTTAAAAATTTCAGAAAGTATATCAGTGGATAAAGAATTAAAATCTGTACAAAATGTACTATTGACTTTGTCAAAACAATCTTAAAAAGCGCATTGTACACACTAAACACGTTTTTGCTGATTTTTGCCGAAATCGAAATGGTACTTTTTGTGGAACAACTTTACAAAAACCAAAAACATTTTCTCTACCTTATTTCAGCTTAGTTTGACAGAGGACACTCGATTACATAAGGCTCCGTGCAAATGAAATTGACAGAAGTCTTTTTACCGGTAGAAAACCCACCGCAAAAGAAAGAAAAAAAATGATGTAATTCCGTCATGCAGCCGTTTCGCTTGTTTCTTTTCATTTAAGCATTTTTTAGTGAAAGTAAAGAGATGATTCGAAAGCTCGAAACATCTATTTTTCTCATAAAAATCGTTCTATCTGACCGATTCATTCTAAATTTTTATCACAAACCAAACATTCTACTGACATCTCTGATATAGTTGCGTCACCTTTTGTTTAGTATTTGAGGAGAAACAGAGTCCAAGAGTTGAAAAAATGTAATTCCGTCAGCGCGTTTTTTAGACCGTATTCATATCATTGCATTGTTTAATATCATCATGCAATAATTTAAAATCACTAAGTAATAATAGGATGATCTAGTTTTGGAATAATTGTACACAAATTGTAGCATCATCGATTGAAAAAAGTTCAACACGATCTGGTGTAATATTTGCAAACCATTTTAATTTATTTTTCAATCATATCAAATAATCATTATATTTAATCTAAAGCGGATCGAGTATTTGTGTAAATGTTGTTCACTAAAAACATAAGTAAACTGTGATGGAATAGCCCATCACAGTTTATCCATCCACACAGTTTCCATCACAGTTTAGTATTGTTGCTCATCATATGATGAGCAATTAACTTTGCAGAAATAAGTTTCTTTTAAAACAAAATAATAGCGGCCTATTCATTCTTTAATTAACCGTTAATAATGACTTAATCTCAAATAATCACTGTATGCGTGATTGGTTTTATATTGTTGAGTTAAAGCAAAGTTTTGTTGATGCTTTTAGAAAAACAATAGAATTTGGCCAAAATTAAATACACCAAAGCGAGTAGAACAATATTGAACAAAGTAACTGATTGTGAATTTTCGGTTTGAATACTGTAATGAATGATAAATTTGGTTTTTAACAACAAATCGAACGATATATTTTTACACAGTCGCTAAATTAAGAGGGTCGTTCACGTCTAACACAAATGGATCAAATGGTCCTAAACAGACGGAGGAAAATTCATGTGTTTTTGGTAGAAATAGAGACAACACTCGTATCCAGCTTCCCTAAGGGCTTATTAATCGTTCGTGCCTTCCTCTCGTTGGAGAAAGAGAAGAAACAAATTACCATCAGCTTTTGCTGTATTTACCACGTTCGATAAGCCAGTAGACTTTCTATTTTTGACGAGAGGTACTTGCAAAAGTTTAGGAAAATTTTTCAAAGACAACGACGAAAAAAATTTCCATGAGAAAATACTCTTAGTTTCAAAAAACTTTCTTCAGTTTTGGCTGTACTCCCCGTTAAGCATAGAAAATCTACTGGGTTATCTAGGTATGCACCAGTTACAGTTTTTTACCAGTTAACTGTAACTGTGAAAACTGTAACTGTCATAACAGTGTAACTGTTATAACTATAACTGTCATAACTGTATAATTGTAACTGTCATAACTGTAGACAAATATTCTAGAGTGAATTAGTCTTCTACGATTTGCATACATTTTAAGGATGTCTCTGTTCTTAAAATGTCTCCAAATCGTAGAAGACTAATTCACTCTAGAATATTTGTCTACAGTTATGAGCAGTTACAGTTTTGACAGTTACAGTTATGACAGTTACAGTTATAACAGTTACACAGTTATGACAGTTACAGTTTTACAGTTAACTGTAACTGGTGCATGCCTAGGGTTATCGAATGTGGTGAGTACGAAAAAGCACTTTTGCGCCACTCTGAGCGAACTTTATTTTTCTGTTGATAATATGAAGTAAACGTCCCATCGTTTGCAAAGTTCGTCTTCTGTATTAAAATCCCCCTGTCATCATAGTGATACTTTCACATTTTTCTTCATTATAACTCGATTCTTTAGACATTTAACCAGATATTGAGAATCAGTGACATTAGTTTTGGAGCTGCAGCGGTCATTTGTTCGATTTTCCACTTCAAACCTCGACATAGTCCTTCTACGACTATGACAAATTTTTTTTCAATAACCCTGCACAACATAATAATGTGCTGTGAAAGTTCTTACTTTGTTTCTCAAAGGGGTCATCGTACTTCGAGTAAACATTGCGTACACATGCGAGCGTTCTAAAGTAAATTATAATAGAATGAGTATACTCTAAAAAAAAGTGCGACGTCTAGGAAGACGCTGAAGTCGGTTCCTATTTAGCAATTGGATAATCAAGTTCAAAATCAGGAACTGGATCTGCACTCCAATTTAAGAATCGTGTAGTATCAGCTGATAACAATTTTCATGCATTTATATCATATCCTATGAGAAACATCTTGAGTGGGTTGTATTGTGCTTTTCATACATATAATTTATTCACAAAATGACGCTGTATGTTGTATTATATTCAGTAGTCCATGTTAAACATATTCCAGTACAATATGGCTCAAATATAAGTTGATGTATGCCTTGCATTCATTATTAGTCATTATCATATCATAATGATGATTACATCTTTCTTTTACGCCACTGAAGGAACAATTTCACCACAAATGCAGACTTAACAGATATGATCATAGAAATAAACAATATGGCGTCGATCAACAATGAATGAACGGTATGGATAAGTAGAGGCTAAGAAACAGAATGCTTTCAAGCACATAAGAAAAACAATTTAAAAGAACATTAATCATAATACAAAACAGAATTCGATCAATCTACCATCATTTCAACAGAGAAAAACGAAACGAAAAAAAACGCAATGTGATTCGTTTCATTTGTCTCTAATGGTACAAACTCTGTGCATGTGTTCATTTGACGTTGATCGATGCCCTATTGTTTATTCCTATGATCATATCTGTTTAGTCTCCATTTGTGAACCATTTGATGAGTTCGGGTAATGACTGTCATAATTAACTATACTTAAAATTCTTTTATAACTTAATAATTGTTTCTCGTGTTACACGTTCGTTTGTTTATGATGATTATCTTGATTGATTCGATGAATTATCGTTGCAACAGGTACGGCTCATAGACATTTTACATTAAAAACTTCACTTTTCTTTCAAATCTCGCAGAAGTATGCTATAGTAGGTAGTTTTCGGTGGTAAATTCAATGGAAGTGGTCTTAAAATTTTTGGGAGATTTCCAGAGGGTTTTTAGAAAACCTTCGAGCCAAAGGATCGAAGTTCACCACGCCTAAGAGCATTCAACGTGAAAAGTCGACTGAAATCGAGCGCCACCTATTAGCAACATGTGGAGAATGTTTTTGGGTTTCAAAATAAGCTATAAACGAGGTTTTCAAAAATATGCCATACGGGACAATTGTCGAAATACCAGACAGATATCATCAAGTTCACTTATCTTAGTGCTTTAAACACACCTTTAGTCATTTTTCTCCCATAACAAAAACTTACATATTTTTCAAAAACATACCATTGGATAGCCCTTGAAATTCTCTACAAAGTGAGCTGATTAGAATATCTAGAGCGGTGGAGCCAGTCACTAAACGATATCGAAGAGAAGCGTTTGGGTGTTATCTATGTAGTACAGTGTGTGATACTCACAAGAACTCCTT